ATAATGCAGGATTGGCTCAGCAAGGCAACAGCTGCACGCAACAGCCCAAGCCGTTGCTCTAGTCCGCAGGGGAAACCCGGGTCCACAATGTGGAAACTTGCCATGGAGGAAGGATGCTCTTTCAGGGCTTAGTCAACAACAAACTGCGCTTCAGTCCCAGTAAAACCTTACTCATGACTTAGAGGTCGTCCTTGGTTTGCGGTTGGGTTTTTTGGCGTTGCTGTTGTTGTTGCTGTTCTTTGGTGGCTTCAAGTCAGACTTGATCCCTGGCCCCACTGTTGTCTTTGCAGCACTTTGCCTTCTCCCTAGAGCTGAGAGGGAGGGACGGACCCACCAGGACTGACTCTTCCTTCTCGGTCTGGGCTGACAGGAAGAATTTTCATTTCAAAAACATCTGTATTCAGGAAGGGTTGCTGTGGTCATTTTGTTGCTCGGCTTTTTAGTCCCTTTAACTATTTATTAATTAAATTTTTACACTGCCCAACTCCCAGTGAATTTTGAAAAAAATTGTAAGATGCTTTGTCTGTAAATTAACAGGCTATGGGTTAGCTCAGTCTGTGAGGCCCACAGCAGGAACATGTGATGAGGAAGATGTAATAATATTAGGGTTACCAGATATCTGAACAGGCAAAGGAGGACACACAAACTGTTTAACTCACCTCTGTGAGACCAATTACAATGAAAAGCTGCAAAAAATGTACTTAGGCCAACACGTATATGAAATTAGTTTTTCCAACATCAGAAAGACTGGTTTTCCAATTGCAATATTTTCTCAACAAATCTTTATTTCCAAGAACATATGCTGGCGATAATATAGAATCGACAATGCGCTTTTCAAATTTCACCATAGAAATGTCTGACGAGTCACGTGATCTACAGACTACAGGGATCACAAATTTGAAGGGAGTGGGGTGAAGCTTATTGCTGGAATCAGGAAATAAATCAAGTGACATAAATCTAGGCTGTCGAGCCTGCAGACAACTTACAAGGTCACAACACACGGAAGTTTGAATGACTAGTGTGATGAAAACAGTCCAAACCCCTCCTCCCCCCCAAAAAAACCACTCAGAAAGCCAGACAATATTCAATTTTAAGGCTATGCCTGCCAGACGGAGCACATGAGGACGAACAGGAGGACAAGTCTGGTGACCCTAAAGAATATGAACCCCCACAGCAGGAAGCCCCGGCCTTGAAAATAGAATCAGCCACCTAGAATTACAGCAGAGCAGGAAAAGCCTCTGCGCAGACTTCAGTGGCTTCTCCCTCGGCAGAGCAATTCCAGGGGACGCATCTGGCCCCTGGGGGTCCTTTAGAGGCTGAGGTCTCCTTTCTGCCTTAGCTCAGAAGGGCAGCTGCCTCAGAGGCCCCACCACGCTCCAGGGGCTTCAGGGGAAGCAGTCCACCGGGCATGGCTGAAGCCAAAGGCGGGCTGGGGTACTGCTTCTTCAGCAGAAGAGAGCGACGCTGTTTCACCCTGGCTCACTCCAGCTGGGGCGGATGTCGCATCCAAGCTCCTGGCAGTTTGTGGACATTTCCCCAGGGCAGGACAGGACTGGACCAGTGTCGCAGCACATCTGCTAACGGGTCATGAATAAACAGACAGAGTTAATTTTGCTCTCTCGTATCAGGTGCCACTGCAGAAAGTGTTGGCTGCTGTCAGAGAAGCTTTGCCATCTACAGGTATCTCTGCTTTTCTTTAAGTGCTGGACAGACAGTCCAGCTGCTGTAGACCGAGATTATCTTCCAGGTTTGAGAGATGCCCCTGATGCCGTTGGAGTAATAACTACTGCAAGGCTACAAGACAGAGGAAAGTTTGTTTCAAGTGGTCTCTTTAAACAAATGCACATTCAAGGAGGCAGGATCCAGAGCTCTTTCCCACTCAAGCCCCAGGATGTGCGCAAGTATTTAAAAGCCTCTTCCCGGGGCTTCTCATTCATCTTCCCAAATTGCTGGCAGGAAAGGCCCTCAAAGTTGCCAGTTTTAATCCCAGTCATTGCCCTTTACTTCTTTGAATGCAAATGTGAGTTAATGAGCTTGTTCTCTTGGGTTTTAGTCCCCTGGGTATCACTCACAACACCAGGCACCGCAGTGTCAGAATTTCTCTTTAGCTTTGGATCAGAGAGACTCCAAGACCAGATGCGAGGCTAAATTCACCAGGCAAAGCAAGGAAACCCTAACCCTGAATGCAGTTCGAACTTTTCCCCAGGACTTTGGCTGCCACAGTTCGTTTTTGGATGGCATTTCACCAGGAAATCCCAAGGCTGCAGGCTGTGTGAATGCACACTCCTTTTACCCAGAGGATGGCTGTGAGCACCAGCTATGTAGGCAGGGGAAGGGGAAGCAGCGTAATCCGTTTTAGCAACCATGTCATCCGCAAGCCAAGTTTTGGGTTACAGTGAAACTGCACGATCTCAGACCTTGAATTGCTTCAGTGGGTCAGAGCTGACGTAGGGGATTCCTGCCCTGGTCAGGGGTCAGGCTTAATGATCTCCAAAGTGCCATGACGTGATTCATATTGGAGCAGCTTCTTTTTCAGGCCCAGATATATCAGAGCAGCTGGGAAGAAGGGCAGCCACATGCAAAAGGCCGGAGGCAAACAGGAGGTGACTATAGAGGCCCCCAGAAGAGGAAGTCCACGGTGGGACCGTCTCAGTGGGACATGGCTGTCTGGATGCTTCAGGCTGCCTCGATCCTTTTTCTGTTTTGGAAGCCACCCAGAGTCATTCTGTAGTCGGGGGGCTCTAAATAATTATAGTAGTAGTAGTAGTAGTAGTAGTACTACTACTACTACTACTACTAATAGTAATAATTACTTAGGCATGCGTATTCTGTTCAA